CCCGGTAACGGAATCAATCAAATAAGCACTGCGCTCACAAACGCTACTCAGGCATTACAGGCAAGATGAAATGAAAATTACATCCATAATTTTCTGAAGACAGTCGGTTTCCTTCAGAAATACAGTGATATAAAAACACCCGCGCACACACAGACATTCAGCAACACAAACTTCTCAGCGCTGCCCCACAATTTTATCAATAAAATAGCTTAATCGCTCAAGAGCTGGTAACATCATTCTAAAGCAGTGGTTCTCAAAGTGTGGGGCGTAATAAAGGAATTAAAGCCACAGCTTCACTGTTAATAGAGAAACATGGCAAAACGTGACACAAACACAGCCTCTCTCTCCCTCTCTTTCTCTCTCTCTCTAAATGAATACTTGATGAATTACACTTTTCTGAGAATAGAATATTGAAGTGGAGATCGCTAAACTGCAAGCTTACCTCTGTTTTCAGAAAGCAAACGCGTTTATTCACAGTGGAGAGAGAGAGCGCGTGCACATGGTTGCCACCCATCTAGAAATTTTTCATGTTTTGGGAATGTTTTCAGCGTCAACTTTTTTTTTTTAGTTCCCAGAATGTTCTGCTAAAAGGTAGGATAACATTCTCTAAAAAATTTTATTATTGATTACATTGTTAGAACATTATCGTCTAACATTCTAATAAAGCTTCCCATCACACTAGATGTGGACTTGCATCAAATTTTGGTTGAAAGTGAAAACCCAAGCTTTGTCTGATGTCAAGCTCCAGAGTAAATAACTCCAAAAACAGCATTACCAGCTTCACTTATAAAACAGATTGACTTTATTTCTGCCATACATTTACAAATGTTTTTATTGAGATTAACAGAGGTTTAGATGTTGATGTCTGTTTGAAAGTAATAGTTTGGTTTGCTGTCACCATTATGGTGAGAAGTGTTTGCTTTAGTTGGGCAATTTGACACTTGTCTTTTTGATGTTTTTCTCTAGCTGTTGTAACTATGTTTATTATGGAAAAAACAGCAAGAGAAAATGTAATCAGACAATGTTGGCTACTTGCGGGTAATAGTGATGTTATCATCATGCAGTGCCCTGATTACTGATCTCATCTAGAGTCTAATATATGTGATTAATTTCATATTAGAGACTGTAGTAATGTTTCAACAGCATAAGGTCCAACAAAGTTCTAATCAGATAATCTGTATTTCCATCCTTAATTTTTAAAAACCATTGTTCATGAATCACTTTTGAACTTCTGAAAGCTTAAGCACACACAGACATCAAGAATCAGTGTATGAATCTCAACAATGGTGACATGCTTCGTGCCGCAATGCATTCTGAGAGCTCTGCATGAGTTTTGTATGATGCACCCAGAATACATTGCAGCATGAAGCATGTCACCATCGTTGAGATTCATACACTGATTCTTTATTTTTTTATTTATGATTAAATTCTCTGATTAAAATTCTGATGGATCTCGGTCTGTAGACCATTGAGTTGCCATATTAAATAATGTGCACCTAATGCCATAGATTAAACTAGATGAAATCAGATAATCAGACTGCTATGTGTTGATATCTGAATCATCAGCAAGCAACCATCATCACTTAATCACATGTTCTTTCGCTGTTTTGCCATAACAAACATAGCTACAATAGCTAGAGAAAAACATCAAAAAGTCTATCCAAATTGCCCAACTAAAGCAAACACTTATCACCATAATGGTGATAAAAACCAAACTATTACTTTCAAAAACAGACATCAACATCTAAACCACTGTTAATCACAAACCAAAATTTGACATCTGAGCAACATTTGAGTTCACATCCAATGTCGAATGGAAAGTTTCCCGCTTAAATCTAAATTAGAATGGTAGAAGATAATGTTCTAATAATGTTATCAATAAACATTTTTAGAATGTTTTTAGAGAATGTTATCCTAACTTTTAGGAGAATATTCTGGGAACTAAAATAAAACTTGCCGCTTAAAACATTACCAGAACATAGCATAATGTTCTTGGAACATTCTTACAACAATAACATTCCTAGCTGGGCATGTTGACAAAGGGTGCTTTTACACCTGTATATCGATTGCTTTGTTCCGAAACAGGGATTAAAATAATTACAATGTTGCTTATTATTCTTGGTGGCAAAGTTTGTAAACGGACCAAAATTGTTACAAATACAAGTCACGTGCGAGTAAACTGTCCTCTCATTGGTCAAAGTTCCACGGTTTATTGTCAAGAATTCCGCTCATAGCTGTCATGCGTCAGAACACCGTCACAACAGCTTCGAGGGCATTTTGTTGGGTTTTTTGTAGCTGTCGTTATATTAATTTATTAATTTATCATTTTGAGCAGGAATCCATGATTCGTCGGGAAAACATTGTTAAAATTAAACCTTGTTGTAGCCTATGTATTATGCTATATTCATTATTTTTTAGGAACATTGCACTTTTCTACTCCATTTTAAATGCTGTTCTTGTATTCAACTTAAGCGCGGTCCAATGCTGCACACGTGCCACGATATCGATACAGAGACAGCTGTATCGATACACGTATCGTCAAATCTCTGTGACGATACATCGTTGTATCGATGTAT